GGCGGCGCTCCTCGGCCAGTCGTCGCTGGCGCCAACGTTTGAGGTACGCCGCATCCTGCGCTGGCGTCGCCCCCATCCAGACCGGCGGAGCGCTGACCCACTCGCGCACTCGCACGGTCCATGAGTAGCGCTCGATGAGGTTCGGCTCTGGCTCCGTCTCGGCCTTGACTGGGGAAGGAGGGGCCACCGGCTGCACGACGCAGTCGCCCGCCGCGAAGAGGGCCATGACCTCCGCCATGGCCGCATGGTACGCCGCCTCCTCCTCCTCCAGGCAACGCTCCTCCTCCTCACTCTCCCGGAGGACGACCGCCATGGCCGCCTGGTAGGCGGCCTCGACCTCATGGTCCTCGTCGCGAACGATGAGGGGGGCGACGGCGACCTGCGATCGACTTTGCGGACGCCACGCCGCCTAGCCTCCTTGTGCTCGAAGGTGAACCAACGAGCCCAGTTTGGCGAGTCGAAGGCGTACACGACGTCGCTGCGCTGCTCCGGCGTCAGCAGCGCCCGCCGGCGCCGCACCTCCTCCGCGTGCACCCTAACCGACTGCGGCGCCGCCGATCCTAGAATCCTCTCCGGATCCAGATGCTAGTCATGCGGCAGGGTGACGTCTAGGTATGGGAGAGGCACGCGGTGTTGCCAGTGCCACTCCGCCCGGTGCACTGGCACGTTGACGCGTCGCCGCGGCCGGCGAGCTGACGCCGGTTGAGGCGGGGGAAACTCAGGGGGGAAGGGATGGCGGGGTCCTTGCCCTTGGCTTTGCTGCTGCCGAGGCCGGAGAAGAGCCCCATCCGGCTTGACTAGGGTGGCTAGGGTTGCCGCCGATGGGGGAGCGAGATGGGGATGGTGGAAGCGGATGATGACGCCCCCGGCCCCCCTCCCCCACTCTGTCAGCTTAAAAAAGGACGACCGTCGTCGCTGACGCGTGCGCATGAGGTGGGCGGTCGTCATAAATTAGGCTGACCAAACTGCCAGCTGGGTGGTTGGATGTCCGCCAGGTGGGGACACAACGGACACCGAGAAGGCGCGCGTGGCGTCCGCTTCGCGTCCGCGCCGATGCATTTGGGCCGCAAATATGTCGGCGCGGAGGCAAAGCAGACGCGATTTGGGTTTGGGTCGGCGCGTTGGGCCTCCACTTTTATCCGCGCCGACCCAAACGGGCGCAGGCAGACATAATGGGTCGGCGTGTTGGAGTTGCTCATAGGTACTAACATAACGCACCTCAAGACAAATATGCTTATGTGGCATGGAGTTAAAGAGGGAGGTGTTTATAGTAACATAATACATTTAACAGAACGCACCCCAATGCAAAATGAGTCTACAACATAATAAATGAAGATTCGCATACTACACTTATGTACTACCAACTATGCTGGTAGTAACATAGACTAGTAACAAGCATATGTTACTAGTCTAAGTTACCGCCCACTATGACTAGCCTAATGACACCAATTTGATGTCACTTGAAGCATATACAGGTCAAACGCTTTTTGTAACGAATCAAGCCGAACATTTTGAAACGGAGGGAGTACTCCATAAATAGTTCATTCGGTCTAACTAATTAGGCTGTCTTTGCAACAGAAGTATTTGACCGTGGTGGTCGCAAGTTGGAAACAGACAAGTGCTCCATAATTCAAACGAGAAGCAGGAAATTTCCATCGCCAGCGAACACAGTATTCCACACGGTTTGCCATGAACACCCAATGATGGTGACGGGCAAACCAAGAAAAATATAGTGCGACTGCAAACCAAGAAAATAAAGTGTTCCTGCAACAATTGTGAGCATCTTCCCTTTGAATATCTTGTTGGTCTTCTAGGTCAGCATCTCCATACAATGAGCATGACATGTAGATGAGTCACTTCTAATAATAGGTTGATGACAGCGAATAAAGATGCCTAATCTTCAAGAAGCTCCTTTTGGAGTAAAAAGTTGGACCCAGATTTCTTCTACAAAGCTATACTTGATATTCAAGTTATTTTTCGTTGCCAATATGCAAGTCTATGTAACTACAACTTACGTAGTACTCCCTCTATAAACAAATATAAGAGTGTTTAGAGTAGTGATTTAAGAGCAACTTCAAAGGGTGATCCATTTCGTCCGCTGGCGTCCGTTTGGGTCGGGGCGGACACAAAAGTCGGACCAACGCGCCGACCCAAACGGACGCGCGTCCGCTTGGCGTCCGCCTGTCGACCCATTCCCGACCCATTTTTTAGCCAGATTTGCGTCCGCGTGGACACGAGGCGCACGCGCACGCGCCTTTTCCTTACCTCGGGCCCGTTGGTCGGTGGCAGTCTCCACCATTTCTGTCCATTCCTCCCAAAAAACCTCCCGCCCGCGCGCTCCCGCCCCACCCGCGCCATGGACGACGACCTCGACGCCGCCGCCGACCTCGCCTCGTCTGGCATGCCGACCGCCCCCTCCGGCAAAGGCAAGCCTCGCGCCCCCCGCAAGACCGCCGCGCTCAAGCCGAACAAGGCGTTGACGCTCGAACAGCGGGTAAAGGAGTTGGCCAATGGAGGCACGTGGCGGACGCAAGGGATGAAGCCATCGCGGCGGTCGCCGTCGCCGCCGCCGCGCAGCAGGAGGTCACCAACGCCCGCGTCGCGGCGGCAACGAGGGAGGCGCTCTATATGCTAGGGTTAAACCCTAGCCAGCACGGCCTCGTCAACGTCGTCGTGGCCGTGACCAGCACCGGCTCATCCGCGTTCCCTCTGATGGTGCTGCCCGACTCGCCCCGCGCGTTGGCTTGCACCACGATGCCCGGCTTCCACGTCTACCCTCAGGCCTCCCGCCTCTCCGGGGAGTGCTCGCCCGAGGTGAGCGTGGTCGCGCCTTCCACGCTCGCGCCCGCGCCCATCAACCTCAATGCCACACCAGTGGCTAGTGGCTCGTCATCCAGAGGCGCGAGGAAACGCGCACGGCAGATGCCAACCGACGTGTTGCCGGGCGCATGCAATCTCTTCGATGGAATGCGGGCCGCCGGCGACGAGGACTACATGCAGAACATTTCGAGGGTGGTGCGCAGGCTGCTGGCTACGATCCCGACAAGACACAAAGCCAGGACGGCCGAGGGGCGTTCACGCCGTCCGCTGACTACAATGAAGATCAGACGGCCTTCATGCGTGATCAGGTCGGCCTGGACCTGGACGGCTTCCCTCTCGACCACGAGTTTCTGGAGGACTACGGGCAAGGGAAGAGGACGAGTGCGACATCGAAGGGGAGCCTTTGTTCGAGGACGAGCTCGCCAACCAAGCCGCCGGGGCGAAGCCGAAACACAAGAGCAAGCGAACCAAGGCATACACGGTGGCCGAGGAAAAGTTTTGCGAGTGTTGAAGAGACATTGGGCAAGACCCCAAGACGGACGCCGAACAAAAGCATTCAACTTTTTGGATTCGTGTCCACCGTGAGTTCCATGAGCGCAAGAAGTTTTCGCCGTACCAAATAGTAAGCACGCGCGGGGTGGGTGTCCATTTCGAAGCGATGGAGGGTGACCCAACAAGAGTGCAACAAGTTTTTTGCCACTCTTGAGAGCGTCAAGGCACGCCCCGTGAGCGGTATCTACATGCAAGACATGGTATGCTAGCAAGCCGCGCTCTTTTGTGTCATCAAGTTTATGCTTGCGTGTTCGTTTGCATACCATTTGCCAATATGCTTGCATGAAATACATTTGTAGGCATTTCAAGCTTTGGAGGCATTCAAGGTCCAACACAATGGCAAGTGCTTCAACGTCTCCCATTGCTTTAGGGTCGTGAAAGACGGGGAGAAGTTCAAGGCGCAATATGACGCCCTCAAGTCGCGTGGGGGGAAGCAAGCCGTGGAGGAGGTTGGGGACGGCGAGAAGGCTCGGACGCGGGGGAAGACCAACTCCAAGAAGGAGGACAAGCGGGATGCGGCGTCGATCGCCTTGATCGCAACCGTGGAGGGCATGATGAACAAGGACTCAAGGGAGGAGAAGCGCCGGCAAGACAAGGAAGAACAAATGAACGCCTTCATGGAGATCCAAAGGAGGAGCCTTGAGATGGACGCGGAGAAGCAAGCCAAGATGCTTGAGATGGAGGCGGAGAAGCAAGCCAAGATGCTAGAGATCAAGGCCGCCAAAACCAAAGCGAAAGAAGTGGCTCTCGTGAGCATGATGACCGGGGTGGAGATCATGAAGGTGGATCTCAACACCGTGTCACCAAGAAAGAGGCCCTAGTTCGAGAAGATGCAGGCCGACATGCTTAAGTTCGACGACGAGTGATCTACGACGGCGAACGCCATCCTTTTTTTTTATACCGGCAAGTGTGCTGGCATGACCACGAGGCCACGATGGCGTGATCGAACTCAAGTCCCATCCCTTTTTTGTGTGCTGGCATGTGTGCCGGTCGTTGGCGAGTGCGACATCATAAACTGTGGTGATATTTTTTGAAGCCGGCATTGTATGCCGACGCTGGCATGGTGCCGGCATGAGACATGGCCGTTGGCATGATCTATAGCCGCGGACCTTTTTTAAAAAAATTGAATGCGGACATGAAATGGGTCGGCGCGTTGGACACTGTCGGCCCAAATCTAAAACAGGGCGAACGTCGGGCGGGCGGTCGATCCAAACGGACAAATTCGCCGTTCGTTTGGGTCGGCCGAGTTGCTCTAAACACTCTTATATTTCTTTAAGCATGGAGTACATTACAGTCCCTTCCATTGTTGCCTCAATACAAGCTACAAATTATTATCCGGGTAGTTTACAACAAGTAGCATAGTGTTTTGAAAAATGGAACAAAAACAGAACAACTTCCAAGCTTCATACGAAACATCAAGCTGAAGTTCTACATGTACATCGATTATATACTTCAGTTATCCACATTACCCACACAGACACAGGCACATGTGATAGTATATTATATTGCAAGTATTATTTCCTTTAGATTTAAATGTTGTATACCTTCATTTTGAGCATGCAATGAAAGAACTTTTGGACAAAACTGGCCAGACATATTATGGGGCTGCCCAATTGGAAGGCGATTACCTAGGGCACGTGCACTGATATCGAAACGGGATTCGACAACTCTCCACTGCCAAAGCTCGCAGCACGCCTCAACGAGCTGTTACCTACCAAAGAATGATCAACCACCCTCAAGCTAGTCCCTAGCGACATTGCTGACGGCATTTGGCTTCTTTGGCACATCTTGACGATCAAGCTTGCTTTCTTCTTGGCGCGCTTTGTTCCAGTGAGCATGATGTTCTGTATTACCGTATTCAACCCCGGAATCTTTGCTACTCTCCGAACCAATGTTGAGCCACCACGGCGACATATCTCGTATAGAGCGGACACTGCATTCTCCTTGCCCTTTGGAGTTCCCCGTCTCATTAATCCAACGAGGCTACTGATCACAGTTTCAGAGCTCCCAACAAGATGCACAACAGAAGGCTGCTTCATGAGCAGAGCCAGAGCACCGGCAGCTTCCTCCGACACGGTGTCGTTCCTCAGTGACTCGATTAAAGCTACAACTGCACTTGACTCAAGCATCCGAGCTGAGCTTTCTGCATGAGTTGAGAGGTTGAAAAGTGCCATCACTGCATCTTTCCTCCCCCTTGGCGACCCTTTTTTCAGCATACAAGCCAGCTTCTCCAGAGCCCCTGGCTCATTCATGATCATCTTCTTGTAATCATGGACCACGGAGAGACTAAACAGAGTTGCTGCTGCATTCTCTCTGGCCTCTGTAGTCCAGCCATTCTGCAACACGCTGACGATAAGCCACAAGCAACCCTCCTGTTCCATAATCCGCGTTTTGTTCGGCTCGTAAATGGAGAGATTGAGCAGCGCCGTCACTGCGTTCTCTTGCGCTATCTGATCTGATGACAGGAGCAGCCTGCAGAGCAACGGGATTGCACCGAGCTCGGCGATGAACGCTCTGTTCTGCTTCCCAGCCTTGGCCAGCAACCTAATTTCCTTGGCAGCGACTGCCTTTGAGCTATCTGAACTCTCCACCAGCATCCTGACCAGAATCCTGGCTGTGGCCTTATTCGCCTCGATTGCCGCCTTGCTGCTGCACGCGGCGGCGACGCATTCGGCCATCCCCTCGTTGCTCTCTGGGGAATCATACTGGAAACAATACATCCCACACCACTGTGATATCAAACTGCGGAGTGCACGATTCGGCACAAGGCGATTGTCTGCCAGCGCCTGCCCTGAATTTGGGCAGGTGGAATGGCCCTCCCCGATCCACTGTATGATTGATGGCCGGTCATACGTCTGGCCGGTGGACGCCACCACAGGGTCGCGCATCAAATCCAAAGAAATCGGGCAGGAGAACTCCTTGGGCACCGAGAAGGAGGTGTCGTCGCAGCCGCCGCCCCACGATGGAAGCCGCTGCAAGTTTCCCGCCGACGGCCAATACCGGGCCAACTTTGCGTTGCCAGGGTCGAACTGCGAGAAGAGGCTGTAGCGGAGCAAGGCGAGAACACCACCGACGAGCAGGAGGTCGGTATCCTCTTCTTGACTCAAGATTTGTTCCTCAAGGTAGCCGATTTCAGCTTGGCAAGATGCGGAGTCAGAGATGCCGATGTCGGAGAGGAGCGGTTTGAGCGGAGAGGTATCAGGCGGCTGGCCGAGCTCGAACTGTTGGACGGCGGCGAGGAGGCGGTCGCGTAGCGCAGCCTCGTCCGGGTCGTGGTACTGGGCGGGCGCTCGGCGGCGGCACTGGGAGCGGAGGAGGTCGAGGTGGCCAGCCGCGTCGTGCGAGAGGCGGATGGAGGCGGCGGGGATGACGTCGAGGACGACGGCGAGCTCGGCGTCGAGGTCGCGGAAGGAGGCGGCGAGGTGCGCGCCCCGGAGCAGCGCCCACGCGCGGCCGGCGGAGGCGACGTAAGAGACGAGCAGGTCGGCGCGGAAGAGCACGACGTAGAGCTCGCGGAAGCAGAGGTTGGCGGCGTCGGAGAAGCGGTCCGGCGCGTCGAGGAGGAGCGAGTCGAGGAGTGCGCTGAGCAGCGCGAGGCGGCGCGCGAGCGCGGCGAAGTTCCGCGGCTGCGACGGCGTGCGCGGCGCGGCGAGCAGCCGGGCGGCGAGCAAGGCGAGCGCGCGGAGCAGCGAGGCGCCGGCGAGGGCGGTGGGCGCGAAGAAGGCGCCAGCCAGCGGCAGCCTCCTCCGCCTCGGCGTGGGGCGCCGGAGCAGGAACTCCACCGGCGAGGAGGCCGACGCCGGCGAGTCCATGGCCGCCCTCGATTCCCTCCCCTTTTTCTTGGAAG